GACGGCGCATTTCTTAATGACATGTTTTCCGTATTACAAAAACAATTCTTATTCAAATTTCCTTTTTTTTTCGAAACGTAAAGTTTATTACTACATGATCGCCTTAGCCAAAGTTTACATTTCAGCTTTATTTGTGCATAGTGTAGATGATAATAATAGACGCTATTATCGTATTATAATATATTTAGAGGACGTAAATATCGATTAATTCATCCATTCTGAGAGGCGCCGTCGCTTTTTTGAGGATTTGTCAGACTTTGTATTGAGATAAATATTATCAACTAAATGATGATCATGCTCCCTTTTAATGAGTTTATGCCAGCCAACGTCTGGATGCCAATTAATAGTAGGATTCAGACTTTCAGGGTACTTCGCCTCCCCTTCCCTTCCTGCCCAATCAAAATCAACAAACTTTATATCAATTTTTCCTTTTTCACATTTGATCATGATATTTTCATCACAAAGATCCCCATGTACATAACCAGAATCATGAAACGACTTCACAGCATTTTTAACTATATTTTCGGTTTGGGAAAATATTTCTGAACGGAAAGTATGTAGTGGTTGATATTCCTCCAAATATTCCATGAAGATAATGTGCCAGCCTTGTTGAAGGTTATTAATTGCCCATAATTTGGGTGCGAAGCCGAGTTCGAAGCATATATTATGTGCTTCTTTAGAATATTTTTGTGTATACTTAACTAAGCCCTTCTTTTGCATATTTTTAGCCTGGATTTCCACAATCCATGATTTATAGAAAGCCTTTCTTTATATTTAATGGTAGCTGTTCCTTCTTCTAAATCAATCTTACTAATGCATGGAAACCAATGATTATCTTGCAAATGTTCAGTTGAGATTTCTCTTGACTCACAGACAGAAGTATAGTGCTCTCTCAATATATCCATGGAGTTCTTTAGAGCTAGTAATACTCTTGCAATATCATCCGCTTTAGTATGATCATAAGTAACTATATCCAGTGGAAAGATGTCTGTAAGATGATCACAGACAATGAATGGGACACAGACAGCACCAGATATCGATAAATTTGGTCCTGTAATATTATTTTGAAGTTAGAGGGCATTTGCATCAATTGTAGCAGAGATGCAGATGTTAATATACATACCATCTAGATTGATAAGGAAAGCGGGCAAACAGGTCTTATAATAAAACTCAGATTTCTCCTTATGAGACTTGATTACAAATTCTTTGTAGTAGGCACTGTTCTGGATGTAACAATCACCATTTGTACCAGGCTCAGGTTTAACTTCTAAGTTTACCAAAAGAACTCTATCTCGACCAATCTTTGGATATATACTTCCATCTGTCCTTTGTTTACCAGTTCGTGAACTATGGCAGATTACATTTGCTTCTTCTGGGCATATCTCTATTTCATTATCAAAAAATAGCTCGAGCCAGCATCTGAAAGCATTTGCCCTTTGGTTTTCATCTGAAAATGTACCAGACATGACAGATGCCAGTTCAAGTACAAGTTCATGTTTTCTCTCTGATATTTGGCAATCCCATGCAAAGTTGATAAATGTTTCAAATATTTGATGGTAAAATTGAATCGGAATGTCAGAAGCATTAGTGGGTCAGTGATTGCGGAATAGACTTCCATTCTTTTGTTTACTATCTTTAGTCCATTCTTTTGCCCATTTTGAAGGACTTGATATTTCATCCATAATGTTAAGATATGCTTATAAGAATTATGATGATGAAATAGATCAATTAATCATAAATATCAGCTAGTAACACTATACACAGCAATAAATCATCTTACCAGATTTCCTATGCTTAGTAACTGGTATTCAATTCAAACAAGAAACAGAGAAAATGGGCATACCATGAATAATGAAAAGCAAGTAAACCCATGATCCAGTTGTAGTTGTGGTTGAAAGAACGAGGGTTAGATTGGCGACATTTTCCCAACAAAAACTCATGATATAATAAAACCATATTACACAGTGAAAGTCGATATAACGGACTCGTCGGTTCCATTAATAAAAATTTTCAAAAATCCGTTATAACGAAGAAATTCGGTATAGCGGATAAAATACTATAACCCGTTCTCAACGTCAATCCGGTATATTGAGATTTTACTTAGTGTCCGTTATATCGAGAGTCCGTTATATCGACTTTGACTGTGTACTATGTCTACTCCACCCTAAGTACACACTACTCTACGTCCCCAACGCCGAGTCACAAAGTCGCTACCTGGTTGAGCAGCAGCAGCAGTGGGTGTATAAATCGCATGGAAAGAAAAAGAAGTGCCAATTAGTCAAAATTACAACGCTCCAATACATCGCCAAACATATTTCTGTGATTTCCTTCACAAACAATAACGTGGTATGAGGGAAAATCACATATTAACTAACGACGCAAACGCGAGTTTTGCTTTAACAATTTCTTTCGCATTGAACTATTATAAAAAAGGCGTAGTTTGCCAAAATAACTATGTCGAGCCGTCAGAACTCTCGGTTCCCAATAAACTCGATACATACCAGGTGCGTTTACGATTATCTGTAGAGGTGTATCATAGTTATTCACAAAATTCTCATCAACAGTTAGATCTGCACGCAAGTCTTCCCCTTCACCATGTCTTCTCAAAGTAATCTCATTGACAGCCACATTATCCAAGCGAGGCGACAACTCCTTCTTTATTGCTTTTTTCAAATCGTCCACAATACCTCTGTCAAACATGAGGCTAACTGGCTGGCCGTCACCATATTTCACCCAGATTCTTTTAGATGACGAAGAGCTCAAGCGAACGTCCTCCATAGCTGTTTTGTACATAAATATTAATAAACCTTCTACAAAACAGACCTGATGCAGCAGTCGTGCCATGCGAAGTCGCTTGAGCAGGAGCTATGGTTATTATCTCTTATTAATTCTAGCCAGTTTCCAAGTAAAGCTTGAGCATATCTCTACCTTACCTTTACCTTTATCTTTTTTCCCCCGCGTCATCGTTTCACCTCGACGTTTCAAAGATTTAGACCAGATACAGTACAACAGTGCGCGTTTATATCTTGCTGCGCTCCATTGCATCACGTGGAATCAATGAAAACTTTTCACAATGTAACTATTGTTCCGAATGTGACCAATGATAATCAATGCGCAGAAATTCGCGTTTGTCTAATAACCGCCCGCAGTGTATGATGAACAAACGGATATTTTATTATAAAAACAGCGCTGGTTAACTTGCTTCAGAAATCAACCATAACGCAATAAATATCGTTGAAACAATACATCGTTTAAAGTAATAAAAACAAATCTGTCAATAACGCTACGAAAAATGCTTACATTTACAAGCGAATTCTTTGTTGGGGCATTTATTGGCTTCGCTCTCGGCCTGTGGTTAAATGGCATACTTTGTAATGGTCGGCCTAATAATACGAGAGCTTTAATTCAAATGATGAAGTTACAATCCATAACAAAACTGTCAGCGGCGAACAAAATTTACTCGCCAGAAATCGAAACGTTGTGGAACAATCTAAAACGATTATACGACAAAAGAATTAAATTGGATCCAAAATTTTCATTTAGCAAAATGGCGTTTGAAATTCATAAGCCGGTCGACGAAAAAAGGCCATTGCTGCATCTACAATAAGAAATTTTTATCTTCGAAGAACAACCCCGCGGAAAAAGACCATTAAAGCAATCCAACGTTGGATCGACGAAGAAAAGAAAAATGTAAACCATGAAGATGACAAAATAATAGATGATAGTGATAATATTATTAATAATAGTGATAGCAAAAGAGATAACGAAAGTTAAAATTTGCACCGGAGTAACTGAAGAATAGGTTATACTCATCAATGGCTTTGGGTCCGAGTATTTTCCTCCCATGCAATCACTCTGGTGCTTTTATTATTATTTATAAGCGATAATAAAGATATTAAAATTGTGCTTACAAAAATTGAATTCTATTTTGTAATTTTTACTCTTGTGTCAAAGTAGCGAAATATGATCAACGCTCAAGAATGCGCTCGAGCAGTCCTTATCAATAAGGAACGAACTTTCGTTGACAGGTCGTTCGATCAGTGGAGGCGTTTGTGGGAAGCTTTTACGTTAAATTTATTTTCCTTACGTTTCTTCAAGTTTTCGCTTCTTTTTTGGTTCATCATGTGTTGGGGTTAAGGCTCGTTTATTGATTCTTATTTTTCGTTCTTCTTGGTAAATTTCATAGGTGATTTTTTCTTGATCTAGATATTCCTGGAGAGTCTGGGTATCATTGATTTTAAAAACATATGGAGCAATTTTTTCTCCTTGAGCTTTCTTTAAAATACTTCGAGTAGTACTGTAATTCTTGGGTTCCATAGTGGATTTAATGTAAATTAGTTTCATATTAATATTTTTTATATAGAGATAACCCTATATTAATCCTGTTATGGTTTATATTCATCACATTCTGGTATGATAAAGTGAACATTAAATTTAACAAGTCCATAAGTTATGAATGAGCACCATTATTACTTTTTAAAATGTTATCAGTCACACTGGTCAATTTTACAGCCACATCATAATCAGCCCCTCATTTATAGAATGTTCACTTTGTCTGGTTTTGTTGCAGCATGCCCCATATATATTCTGCTAAAATCAACAAAAAAATATTTGTATTGACAATTTGTCAAGCACTTCAGAAGGAAAATTTACATTCTTGTATTCCTTGGGAAACCCCTTTAATTTCAGCAATCAACAAATCCAAACGACTTGCTTGGGCAATAGAAAGAAGACACTGGACTTTAGAAGATTGGAAAAAGATAGTCTGGTCAGATGAGTCTACGTTTTCAGTTTCAAAAATCTGGTTGGGGAAGAGTGTGGAGAAAGCCAGAAGAGGAATTTCATGAAGATTGCATTGCATCAATGGTGAAACATTCTCCACAAAGGATGTTTTGGGCGTGTTTTTCCTTTTTAAAATTAGGACCCATTGTTCCACTTAAAGGTTCAGTAACTGGAGACGTATACAAAGAGATACTTTCCACTTATGCAGTTCTCACACTCAAAGCGTTTTCCCGGCAAACCAGAAAAAAATTCATTTTTCAGGAAGACACTGCACCAGTTCACACATCGAAGATTGCACAAGAGTTTCTTCATTCTCAAAATATAGAGGTGCTCCAATGGCCTGCCCAAAGTCCCGATCTCAACCCAATTGAGAACTTGTGGGCTGCGGTTGAAGTAGAAATTCGAAAACACAATACTCAGCCTTCAGTGTTGGTGAACTCGAAAAGGTAGTGAAAGATATTTGGGAAGCGATCCCGAAAAAAGTATATCGTGACTTGGTGCGATCAATGCTGCTAATGGAGGACATACAAAATACTAAAGTACTAATTTCGAATATAAAATAAAATTAACTGTTGTCTTAATAAAAAAAAATTTTTTTTTGGTTGCTAAAATAAAAGCGTGCAATACTTTTGATACCCCCCTGTACATTTGCTAGGTGAAACGGTTACCTCCTCCGTTTCTAGCCGACAGAAAGACTCGTTCCGTATTAATTTAGTAATATCTTCTATAGCAATTTAATTCGAGAATGTTTCCACCCTTAAAATTGTTTGCACATAAGCATTTCGCTTGAGTCTGTCGAAGGTATAGACCCTGTAATTTTTGAAGAAAGCGTCCTCTGGGAATTCGTTAATTTAATGGTTGTAGTGAGAAAGCGTTGCGAGGAATTATATTTGACTTTTTGGTTAAATTTCTTTAAGAAACATCAATAATCAATTTATTCATGTTGTAATTCGGCTGCATTCCTGAGTTTCTTCGTTTGCAAAAATGAGAGATAATCGTATGAAATAGGAATCTTATTTCCAAATAAGAACATCAGCCACGAACTCAAAGGCGAGAGACCAAAGCTTATATTGGAGAGACGTTTGTACTTTGAACAGAGCAAGATACCCTTATTATTTGCTAATTTTAGTAACTATTATCACATTTTGATTTTTCACCCAGAGTTTAAGGACCCAATTATGTCAGTGATGCAGCTTGGTGGGAAAAGTAAAAAAAGTAAAACGACAATGAAAATGCGCGTTTTGGTAAGTCACATTACTATGGAAAACAAACCCACTCGAACGCACTGTTAAAAAACGGATCTATCGGCAAACAGTCTTTTGCCATCACGTATAATTATATCAAGACGAGATAAAACATGTAACATAAATATTAACCGCAAAAACGCGTATAAAGAGAAAAAGAGTTTAAAGAACACAATAAGATAATCTTCAAAATAGAGACAAAACCATGTTATAGGCAGAAAAATAAGATTATATTGCACTCTACATAAAAAAAGGAAGACTAAAATGATAGAGTTAATATGCTATAAGATTAATAATAATATAAAATAAATAAACGTATTAATATAATTATTTTTGCTTTTGCCTTTTGCACACATATAATAAATGTCGTCAGCAAGAGTCTTAAAAAAATAATCAAAATTTCATAATAACAGTAAATTTGTAATGTCGTGTTTTAAAAATTATTACCTAGATATAATGTAAGGCTTTCTTTATAGATTATTAGGATGATACCTGAAAGTATTCTCATCATGATGTGGTTTTCCGTTAAACTTTGTAAAGTCAGATAATTTTTGTATATATAACTAGAATTTTTTTTTAGTAATTCTTTCTTGCGAGCGTTGTACTGTAAGCCGTTCCGAAAATGGTGACAAGTATCACATAAATCCGTTCATAATTTTGAATATACAGTTAAGGCGTTAGTTGGTGCCATAACTTACGGAATGCGTATTTTCAATGTGCTATCGTTTTCGAGACCTGCAATGAAATTACGACAGACCGATTTGTAACTCGTTTCTGCTGTAAAAATAGATTATGGTACGATTCGGAAGAATTCCGGCGTCACATGGTTGTAGTGCAGATGTTGTATTTGGAAGTAAGAATCTGATCTTGGTTCGTTTCCAGAGAAACTTTTATGCACTAAGGCACTGTCCAATAAGAGAATAATAGTTCGATTTTCACCGCGTAATTTTCTGCCAAACCACTTGAGCCACTCGTTGAACATGACCTAATTATTACCTTACCATACTTAGTATATATACATATTCATTTAATTGCACTGATGAATTCGTGCAACGCATTACCTGCATATGAGTTTTAACATTCACAACTGGAAGATGTGCTTTATTTATACTTCTCAGAGGACGTAGTGTTTGATGCTTGTAAATAAACAATGGTGGCAATTTATTTGTTCTTGAGGCGTTTGTTGTTAACAGTATCGAAACTTTATTTTTTTTTCCACTGAGCCTACGATCGGTTAACACCCGACAAGGTTCTATTGCCCAGAATAAGCCAGTTCCATGCATTATACATTTTCGAAGTGAGTCCTAACATATTAAGATCAAGGAGAATTATGCATCTCGAATTATTTCTTTTTTGAATCACGTGGATGGCTATATATCGCAGCAAAACGCGCAGTACGAAAGATTTTCTTCTTCTTTACGGATACTGACAGAAAGTTCCACTTATCATTATTAAATTCTTTCCTTTCATAATAATATCGTTTTAATGGATGATACAATAGTAGGACCAGCTATTTCCAATAAACCCTATTTCATACTGTCTACGCCTATCGTCCCAGAGGAGCTTGCGAGATCATCTGCGCGCCTTTTAACTACTGTTAATGCACAACCAAAGTTAACACAGGCGTTTCGTTTAGAAGTCAAATTTTTAGAAGATCGTGCGGAGTTTAAGATATGCCTTGACCGTGTGTTGTGGTATGATGTCTACCTTCGTATCAAACCTCTCGCTGAAGCTGTTAAATTGCGAGGGAGTATGTTAATACCACACGGATGAGTATCCCACCGGAAGAAGATGGGCCTTTCATAGTAGATTATCAAGAACCCGAAAAGGATCATGCGTATATTCCATGTAATAATAATAATAAAAGGTTTCATAATGTAAAAACTTGTGGTAAGTGTACAATTTTTCAACGTTTGTGTAGTTTACAGAAAAACATGCACACAAACACGCTAAGACGTAAAAAAACACACGCAAAAACGACCGACCGACGAAGTGCCGGCCTAGTGGTTTTAGGTTATGTCATTCTAACATTTACAAATAATAATACTTATCAATCTATTAATCTTTTCTATATATTGTGACCATCCTAAGTTAAAGTGCAAGGGAAATGTAACAACTCGCGATGGTTGACAAAAAACTTGTGACTTCTATTTTCCCACGAAGCTTATCGTTGATATTAAGAATTTTAACTCAGATAACTATGTCGTGCTTTTGCGACGGGAACCGATTAGGGAATTACTATTATTGCCCTGTCCTAAAGGAGATAAAATGGATCGTAATCATTTTGATAATGAGACACTGGTACAACAAAGTGAGTTCTGGAAGGATCTGTTGAAACAAAAGCAACGCTTAAAGTTTCATACTATAGCAGTTAATTATGGCCGGTGGGAAACTGCTCAATCACGAGATAGGTATGCACAAACATGTCATGCGCACATTCATTTGCTTTTTGATAGTAATGCTTGGGAAGAGGTGAAGAGCATGGTATCACACGAAATGATATCAAATTTAAATGCCCGAAATTATCCTGGACCAAACTACTTGCTTAAGGATTGCATGGAGTTAGAACAACAACGGTTACAATTAGCGGAACATCAATATATGTCAACTGGGATAACCAAAATATCAGAAACTGTCGAGAATGGCAATAAAACTCTAATCAAACTGTCAGAAACTGTCGAGAATCTATCAGAAACTGTCGACAGTGGTAATAAATATCTCATAGAGGCAATTACTTCTCTCACTGGTGCCATAAAAGATTTTAAAAAAAGCAATGATCAAGAAAGAAATTAAAGTATATCTGGGTGTTGTCCTTATAGTGTTATTTTAAATCAAAATGTTCAATAACGGATTTCATAGTAGTAGTAGAAAATGATCAGCTAATACCCTCAGTAGCTAGAATATATTAATATCAGCAAATAATATTATCCTTGTATCATTTGTTTGGCAACGAAATAAAGTATGGAATTTATATGAATCGTAACTAGTTTTTGGATTATTATATTAGGAATAAACCGTGTCTGTTATGGAGTAACACCTACAGTCAACCATTAATTTTTGCATGTACAAAGTCAACCCCGTTAAACCGAAGTCGTCCGTTCTGCCCTTTTCTTCAGATTAGCGGGATATCCCTGTAAGCTGAGATTATCAGGTGAAATATTATTGTGCACGAACGTCTCGGCAAATAAGTATTGTTGGTTAATATTAAAGAAAAGAAAAAACTGGCGTTTAAATCAATATTTAATTCACTTTAGCATGTGATGTTTATTTGTAAATCGGTTTAAGACTATTCGAAAATTATTATTAGTAACTAGAAGGTGAGGGTGTAGCCCGTCGTTGGCGGGCAGATGGGAAATAACTTTCTGTAATGTAAGAATGATCGATTTTAATGTTGTATAATTTTTTTTGACGTTATACAGTTCAGCAGTTTATAATTCTTTGGTTTCACAATGAATTTCTTTAATTCGAAGTCAGTATGGTAGTATAAACATTATTATGTAAGTATGATTTTTTTTGCTAATGTTATGTTGTTAGTTTTTAGACATTTAGTTTATTAATAAAGTAAACTGATGCTACAATGTATCAATGTTACAATTTTTATGAGTGGTTTTTGGTTAAGTTATTGGTAAAGGATTTGATGCGATCTTTAACTATGTTTGGACAATTATTACCGATCTATAACAGTAAGTAGCTAGATAAACGTCCAAATTAAGATCAAAATTGTCCATAAAGGTCAACAAATCCTGGAAAATAAATTTGTTGTTACACCCGGATCGGTTCGATCTTGTATTAATGTCAAATAACGGTGAAAGTCTCTTTTAGCAACAATGCAAGAATTGCTACCATAGTTGGTAAATCCATATGTCATCTCGTTGCGCTTTCTAAGCAATGTGGAATATTTGACATTATGTGTTGAAAGTGAGTATATTCACGAACGAACGTTGGTGAACATGTTTCATTATTTCCAAGAAGATAAAATAAAAAAGCAATATTTGTTCTGCACAGCAAACTTTAGAGCCGTTTGGTCTAGCATTTTCTTATTCGTCAACATACAATCCGACATACACAACTGTGAATAGTAACGCAATAATGTTGTGTTAATAGACTATAAAGTCAAGATGCTTCGTTGTCAATCATTAAAACTTGAAATTGCCAGTGTTGAAACCGCGTATATTTGTGAATGGTACAATGTCATTGTCATGGGTAATTTGACAAGTATAAAAGGCATTCGGAATCGCAATCAATGAAATATAATTCTACGATTTTCAACTGAGATATAAGTTGATGATAAACGTACGGTTGTTATTGAGAATTGCAATGTTATGTAACAAAGGAAGTTTTTTTAAAACAATGAAAAACGTGCTGTATATAAAAATATATTATTTCGAAATTGAAAATAGTATGATCAAGAAAACATTACTCATTAAATCTTGAAATAAAATTTTAAAACCCATGTCATTTGGCAACAAAAATTCGATTTAAAATTAAAGTCAACAATTATGCAACTTGGCACCTAAGACTGTAAGTCTAGTATCGAATACGCGGGAGTTTTAATAGCGAATAGATTTCGATTCACAAGTACAAAAAATAAATAAATAAATAAATAATAAACAAATAACAAATAAACCGATATGCTATGCTTTGAGCTCCATGCCGTTATCGTTCTAGATCAAATAAAAAACCCCGGTTTAAATACCATTTATTCTTGGATAACTTTAAATAACGGTAAAATAATTTACAAAATATAATTTATTTTCAAAAGTACTTCCATGATAAATTCTTATATTTAATTAGTTCGGTTCTCAATATTAAAATACATATACAATTTTCATAGTTTTGACATGGGGGACGAAGATAGTTAGGAAGGTAAGAAGGAAAGTTGCCGCTATCTAGCACATTACAGACGGACTAGATTAGCGAATAAATTTTCAATCACTACTAATACGTAGAACAGAAAATGGCCGTGTATGTTGCAACCCGAATATGAAATAAATCATTGAGATTTGAAATAAATAACAAAGTTAGGCGTAACGAAAACGTCTATCTCATGTTTATCAATATGATACCACATTAACTTGTTAAAGCCGTAAGAGTTAACTAATCTCACAAGTAATTGGCTTGATCGTAAAATTACAACAGATCGTATATAACTCAATAAACATACTGGCTAAATAATAATCAAAGCTATCGTTATAATAGGAATAGAGGTATATTGACAATAAAGTAACAATGCCTCATATTTTGGGAAAGATAAATTCAGGATATTAGCCAAACATATTAATATATGCGCAATATAAATAAGTAATGCATATGGTAATTATTAGATCACTGGTTAATGATCAGTTTAGTCATGTCGTTCTCTGATTAATCTTCGGAGAAAAAGAAGTTAGAAAGTTTATAAGAGTTGCTAATTACTAAAAATTAACTGGTTAATATACAAAGGTTCCTAGCAAAGCCATTAGGCTGAGAAGAAAGAGAAGTTCGGCTATAAAGAAGAATATTTTATAATTACGAAGAAATAAAGGTTGGCTTGCACACATGCTGCAAGAATGGCAGATTTGAAGATCTACGCTAGATAATCGGCAATCTGGAAAGTGAATATAACGAAATCCATCAGTATCATTTATTTACGGAAATAGCAAGCTTTGCCTAGTCACCCTCCTCAAGAAATATGAAAATAATGCCTAGAGATGCAATAGATGCAATAAATGTAAATCGCGTCCCTTGCGAACATCAGATGAATGCCTGGGAATAATCTATAAAAGTAAAGATTTGATTATATACCAGGAAATCATTTACAGTATGAATTGACGTTTGCTTTGCCGATCCGCCAATCAAGGCAACTGGCGGAATCATCGAAAGTAAGACTTTAAGTAAAGGTATCGCCTGTTTGAATATCCCACAATGACAATTATAATATTTTCAGTGCCGAGGAAAAGAATGCCGCTCAAGCGATAGTATGTGGTCAGTACGTCACATAATTGTTTCCTCTTGTAGTCGCGATTTTAGTATAAAATTTTAATGGAGAAAAAAAAAAGAGTTTCTTGGGCAAATGTAGCGGGACGTACAAGAAAATGGGCGTTGATAAAATTAAACAAAATAAACAAAATAATAAATAATAATAAATAACTAAATAACATAAATAACTACGTTTATAGTTATGCCGAGTCTTCACAACAGATATAGCAGATAAGGATGTGAGCGATAATATTAATATTTACCCGCTATCTTTCGTAAATTGTATTAACTAAGACTAAATGTTGCCAGAATAAAAGTTCCCAGGTGAGTGTTACAACTGGAAACAACTATCAAGAAAAACCCACCCAATAAAAATTTTGCCACACCAAATATAGAATTGGATTGTTTATATGTGTGTTTATCAACATATTAAATAAGTTTACAGTCCCCACCCACCCGATAAACTTTGTCCCAGACCTGGAAGGTGTTTTATCACTCATAACCAGAGATCTCTTGTTATCGACTATTGTCACCCTTGGAGAAGCTTGGAATTAGTTGATAAAAATGCCGCCAAAACGAAAGAACTCGCTTACACCACAAACAACCAATACCAAAAAGGTAAAATCAAAGGAAGGTGCCCCTGACGCCTCTCAAAATGAAAATGAAAAGCAACCAACCGAGGCTGCTCCAATACAAAAACCCGTTGCAAGAGGTCGCGGTAGACCAAGAAAGCACCCTATTGTCGACCAACAGAGAGTGCCAGCCGATCAGTCAACGTCAAGCTTGGTAATAGGAAACCCCCCGTCCTTGTTGGCGGGGAGCAACCTTGCTGGGCAAGGCTCGCAGGTACCTATGACGGAAGTATCTCAGAACAAAGAAGCTCCTGCTGTTGCTAAACCGCGTAGAGGACGACCAAGGAAAAATCCAATCCCAGTCGAGTCGGCGCCCAAGGCGGATCTGCTGCCAGCCAAAGAAACAAGTGCAAAAGGACCAGAAGGCAATGATAAGAGTGCTCCTCCTGCTTTATCTCCCGGAACCCAGCAGATTACTCAACAGAAAACGCATCAGCCGGCGATTAAAGACGCTGCCACGATCACAGATATTACCATCTCGAATAGTAGTCAATCAATAGATCTATTACTACAACATAGCATCATGCATACACAGAAAATTATTACATCCGTGGGCGAGTCTCCTACCCCGCCAAAAAAGAGGGGTAGACCAAAGAAAGTCATATCTGCGCCAGCTCCTGCAACCGCCTCACAGAAAGAATCCGTCTTCCAACCGGTAGCGATAGCGCCAGCAGAGACCGGTGCCAAAATTTCAGGTGATTCTGTTGCTGTCAGCGCATCTCCTACGAAAGGAAAACGTGGACGCCCTAGGAAAAATCCTCTTCCAGTAGGAAATGAAAAACCCAAAACTACAAAAGTTAATAAGGAAGATAGTGTTAAATCAACAAGCGCAACCTTGGGTGAGACTCAACCCGCGTCTATCGAAGCCGCTCAACAAGTAACAGTTGTTAAGAAAGGGCGCGGTCGCCCACGGAAAAATACTGTCGAAGACAAAGACGTTAATAATAAATCAACAATCGCGAAATCACTTCCGGTGGAGGGTGAAAAACCGAAAAGCAAACGCGGCCGACCCAAGAAACAGGTATCTCCAGAAGAGAGCGCGAAACTAGCAAAGCCAAAAGATTCTTCCGCGCCAACACAAGCACGAAGGGGCAGACCACCAAAGCGTAAATCACTCGATAACGTTCAACCTGACGCTTCTTGGTCATCGCAGGCTCCAGAGAGGGTTGACGCAGTATCTAGTGAGCGCTCTGTACCTGGAGGAAGTACTGTTTCGGATAAACCGAGCGTGAAAAAACCAAGACTAGACGGTACTGGGTCTATCGAAGACATAATTGAATCAGTTAAATATGCACCTCAGCCGGATTCGCTGGTGCATGAGGAGCGATTGAAAAAACTAGAGAACATGAGGAATCGTTTGGTAGTTTTAATAATCTTTTTTCTTCTTTCTTTCTTAATTATCTGGTTTATCATAGCGGAACTTTTGGGGAAGAGCAAATAAAAGTAGTAAGTGAGGTTATTCGATGCAAAGATAGATTGTGTAATTTTAAACCGAATTGTATTAAAAAAGGTGTTATATAATTTAATTTAATTTAATTTAATTTAAAATTTTTTTCACCTCGAAATTTGAAAGAGATGTGGTGCAAGAGTTCCACGATGATAATTGTCATCTACGACGTAATATTCATTTGTCTTGTTTTGATTTTATTAAGAGCACCTCCTCGCAAGCGAACCGTGAGGAAGTTTTTGCTGAACATCAACGCAAGAAGATTAATCATAAGGAGGAGGTTCGACGAGAATATAAAAAGACAGAAGCAGAGAAACTGCTTGCGCGACAGGTAAGGAAGGAAGGATCGAGGAAAACATTTATGGATTATCGGATTGATATTGAATGTTTTCAACTTTTGACTATAGGAAATTGAAAGGGCAGGCGGTGATTACGAGCGATTGAGGTCATGGACATATTCAGCAGAGGAGGCTGAAAAATGGGAAAAAAGAGAAGAAAAGAAGGCTAAACGTAAAGAAATTGGATTTACTGGTACTGTACTATTTTAATCGTGGCCCATCTACTGCTTGACAAATTTACTTAAAATATTATTTGTTTTCTCAGATTACAATCAAGTAGCAGAAAAGAAATATAACCGACAAATTCACGAACTTAAACCCGATCTCCATGCATATCAAGAGGCTAAAGCACAGGCTGGAGCTTCGTCCGTTGATGATACGACTTTCTATCGTGACGCCAATTCTTTGGCTTTTGCTGGAGTCGATAGTCAGCCCAGTCGACAGGCAGTTGAAAGGCTTGTTACTGATGTTAGTAAACAGTAAGTACAAGAAAAATTGGGTCTGTGATGGTTGGGCTTGTGTTATTTGAGTGCGTAGCAACCGTAATCAATTATGTTAATTCTTGTTAGGATCGAACAACGAGAAAAGTTCTCGCGACAAAAGCCTGTTAATGAAGAAGAAGATATCACGTATATTAACGAACGTAACCGACATTTCAATGAGAAGATCGACCGGTATTATGGAAAATACACTAAAGAGATCAGAGAAAACTTTGAGCGTGGAACTGCGTATGTTGACAAGCATTGTCTGCTGTTGGTTTGTTATTGTTTGAGGTCAACTATTTATTTACTAATTTATTTTTATTCAATAATAGTTTGTAAATATATCAAATTCTTGGGATGATGCATTAAACTTCTGTAGAGGTTTATTTACCCAAAGATGATAGGATAAATCTTTATCAATTTTTACAACGTAATCATATTCAATTAAACCCTATGTCGGCTAATACGCAGGTTTACGACCTAGCTTGCGTTCTCAACAAGTTCCTGCAATCGTTAATATGAATAAACTACAATATTGTCGACAATTTTAATGATTATTTTACAATCAGCGGTCAGTTGAAGCAAAAATCATTAATGAATGTTGCTGTACGAATTACATCACAAATCGTCAAGTCTGAGCCGGCTCGCAAGATTTTCCTTTTCCTGGTGCTACGCAAATATACAGGGCAATCAATGACTATCGCGAGGAACTTTTATTGGCAATCAATGACAAAAGCTAGAAATAGTGATAGGCTTGATTACCAAATTAAGCCTTTGAATAATTCATATTCCTTATTGTTCTTGAATCTCCATTGTACGCACCTTTGTTTCTTTTTCTGAAACCAAATTACCAGCAACTAACTAACATTGTCTTCGTTATTATTGTTAATTTAATCTAATTGCTTTAAATTGAATAATATTTCAAATTATTTAATATTAATGGTGGTGTATAATACAAATACAGACGTATTAATATATTCCATATTAATAGATACTCAGTTGGGTTACTTGAACCACCGAGTCACTCTGTTAATTTTTGATTGGTACGGAATCGAACAAGTTTGAACGTTTTAAGAGCAAGAAATGCATATTTAATAATCAACAATCAATGAGTAAATTCGAGAAATAATAGATGTGCATGTTGTAGAAACACAAATTTACATTCTGAATCTAGACCCAAAGTATTGCAAGCGGATTTCTAAGAAAAGGTTTAGGTAATTTGTACGCAGTGATATGTCAGACCTATTAAAAGAAATAAAACAAATTTAAAATAGATATTCCTCGACCCTCTCTCGTTGTTTCTATGTACCAGTCTATTTTTTGGGACCGGTTTCTTGTCCCAACTCATAGTATTTTGGATAATCAATTCGTCCACATAAATTTCTGAAATTTCTGAAATTGATGTTATTTTTAGAATAACTCACAAATCTTGTGTGCATAGTTTGTTTGTATATAATAATAATGTCTGTATAATACTTGTCCCTATGGACTTGTATTTTATCGTTATTATTCATTACCTGTATCACATTCAAAATTAAAGTTTAACATCGTGAAAGGGGTAAAACACAACATATTTATTATGCAAGAAAATTCGCTTGTATCAATTACTAATCTAAAAATACTTGGATTTCGAATTTTGGTCCAGCAATCTCAACGCTTGTATTAGCAGAGAACAACCTAATTTACGTCTCAATTAGGGCAGTAAAAAAAAAATCGAGGCGAAACAATAGCGCTGCAGGAAGATTTCAGGGGGTTGAAAGTGTTGATTGTCCGAGATTGTCTCACCGCTATATTTGGCTAGTGTTTACCTTTTCTATGCACACAGATTGAATAAACAATACCAAATTAGTGCTAAATATAAAAGACTAGTGATGTGATTTGTCAAGGCGAAAAACTTTGAGGAGAAAACAAGGATTAGATATCGATATTTTTTCCGGTCTGCGTGATAAAGAAAAAAAAAAGTTTAATATATCTGTATATTAAAGCAATTGATGGGAAATAATACAAAGTGGCAATACGTTATGTCATACCCTTAATACAAGTTTAATTAAAAAAGCTTTTTTTTTTTTGTTAAAAACAAATCTTGATACTTGCAATGCCTGCCAAATAATCGATTATTTCAAGTCCCATGGCTACAGTATATATTTAATAAGCATTCTACGACTCTGATTGTACTCTAAACTTTATTGCTAACGTGATACAATTAATGCTCATGTTCTTTTAAAGGAAGCAAGTAAATTGATCGAATTTTATAATAACATTGACCACAAATTTATCTATCAAAATAAACAACCCATTCTCAAAAACAATGACAAACTTAACGAAAAATGGTTCGATAAAAGGAATAATAGAACTCTAGAATGTATTGTCGTTATAGGGGATAAGTAATAATTGTTGATGACTTTGAGATCAAATACAGTACAATTACGTTCTGTTAAAATTTTAAATGCACACTTTTTACTGTAGCGGATTGAGTTAAACAAAACAAAAGCTATGCTTTGGTTTGGATTATGTCTATGTTGTATATAATTTGCCGGCACAAAAAATTATTCCGAGCCTATGTAACTACTCGTTGTTAAGACAAGTCAATATGTAATAAAGACACCTGAAGTTTTTATTTCAGTACAATATGGTTTAATTTCAAAATTATGTTATTTAATAAGTTTATATTGCTTTATATTCCTCAACGTTTTAACTCATTAACAGTCTGTAAATCTATTCGTTTACACATTGTCGCTACTAAAGTATTAGTGGATAGATTTAGATTAGAAATTTTGGCTTGATTTTAGGAATGTTGTCATTATTATATGGTGTATGGTATAATTATAATCAAATTATGGTTTACGTTGACGTTGAGGCCTGGATTAAAAAAGGTTCGTTAACACTCAATTAACATTTTATCAATTAGCTTTTTAAAAAATAAACTACATTTAAAATCAGCATCAGCGCAAACTATCCTTATGCAAAGCCCTCTAGTCTATTTCAATGCATTTTGAAAATTAAAAGCTGTCGCTAGAAAGCAGAATATAACACCTGCTTTGTAAGACTTATCACAATCGATTAATATAATTCTGCACAGAGACTCAAAAGTGTACGTGTGCTGTCTTTGCCAGTTTTTTCTCTGAAAACTTGTCTTTGTAACTGAAGTAATACGATTCAGGATATAATTGTGAAAATAACGCGAAAGAATACCCTATTAATTTGGTCAATAAAACCGTTACAGCACAACCATCAATACCACTTATTTGTGACACACTCAGTAAGCATAATAACTATGCACTTCTCTGTCGGATATGTTAACTCTTCAGTTAGTAAATTAGGCTAAGAATTTTAAGTCACGCATCACTAAAACTCAAAATATTTAGCTGATTAAAATTTTACATTGTAACTTCTAAATAAAAACCATAGGTTTAATTAAAGTTATAAAAGTTCTGCCCTATACATACGTCACACTTTTTTGGTGATTCGATGACAGTTATTCAGAACGAAACGCGGAACATACACTCCCAATATGGCTTTCTCAACAAAGAAACTTTTGGTCCACCAGCTGAAAAGTTAACAAATACTACACTTAACAAGCTGGTATTTTAAATCAATAAATCCTTACATTGAATAATGATAATACACTTTTTTCCCGAACAGAACTAATGTGTGTGTTTTAGGAGATTAAAAAACATCATGCCATTAAGCAACAGGTCGAGAATAAAGCCAATTAATACTACAAAAAAAATTTTGTTTATGAAATGATGTTTTGTAGAGTGTTATTGACAGATTTATTAAACTATATTGTTTTATGATATTTATTATGTAGTGGTGATTTTAAAACGAGTGAACCAGTGCTGTTTTTATAATAACATCTCCGTTTGTTCAAACGCGAATTTTTACACATTTATCAACGACCATAGCAACGATGCATGTTATTGTAAATGCAAGCCTCGTGTTATATTCCTCTTCATATTCAGAAATACTGTAAATGGACGATCTCTGGAAACAGGCGAAAGATAGACTACCTGCACTTTCCCTGACGTAACATTACGCGGTCAAATTAAAGGTCGTCTTTTGCAGATACCTTTATCCGAGAGATTAGAATATTTCGAAGGGGAGGACGATATCAAAGTATGCGAAAGTCTAAAAACTTTGTTACCGGGTGCAGCAGGTAACTCGGGGCGTTGGGGACATACAATTCGCTCGTCACTCATCCTAATGTTTTTATTTTTATTTTTATTTTATTTTTTGACTAATACTGGCCTTAGTGCTTGTAACATTGCTGTCATGCAAAAACTATTTTAAATAAATATAAATCTACCTGTGTATCATTGTGTTGAACTCTTTTATCGGTTATGTGGTGTCGTTTCTGAGTGTCAACGGTTCGCTGTTTGAGGACTTGTTTATGAGTTGTAGCGAGCGTAATACGTAATGGCAGCAAAGGTTTGTTTTGTTGTATATTTTACTTTTGGGTAACATTGTATTGCGCTTTGAAGAAGAAGAAGCGATATGTGCGCAATGGAGAGAGCGTCAGGGTATATATATATGTATGTGAGTAGACGCGTGTTTGCGTGATATTGTCAATTACTGTTGTGCACGACCTTATAAGTATAAATATAAGTCGTTATTTACGTGTGAGAACGATTACTGTCGACCAATAGTAAAGCATAACGCGTATCAATATATTATCTAGTGTAACACATCATTACGTGACTGTCACGATTGTTTCCGTAAATAAGAACAATAGTATCAGTGTAACAGTCCGGAGCACACGCAGTAAAAAGTCACTCGTATAAATTTAATTTAACTGATTTCTATGATAGATAACAAAAACCCCCATCTATACAAGAAAAGCGTAAAGTCTGCAAACAACTAAAACACGTTAGTGATTATGAAATATGTGTTACATAGTCACTCTCATCCCCCGATAAGATACGTTTGCCTAACATGGTTCCTCCCCCTCCCCCCAGAACCAGATCAGGTATAATAATTTGGGCGAACAATCATTATCAATCTTGCATTATATAGAGCCAAGCTAGAAAACATCATTATACAGTTTAACCTTTATATAATATCGAAAAATTTTAATATACACAGTAAAGTCAGGTCTAACAAAGTGCTCCGTTCCATCACTTGACTTTGTTAATGCGAACTATTCGTTAAACAAACTCTATTTCTATAATATATGGATAGGTTCCGTTAAACCGGACTTTACTGTCAGTAAATTTCATATATAAGTAGCATAGACGACAAGAAAGACGTAGCACTGACTAAACGACTGCACTTATTGCCCATGTTATTTGGTTTGATGCTCAGTATACGATGCCGTTAACAAAAGTTATGGCTTGTGCATAGGATACCGGCTCTGTCTCCAAATCTTCATCCTTCGATTTATTTGTATTACAACCATCTTGCACAATATTTGAAACGGTTGCTTCGCTATTGTAACTTGGTTAACGACATATTTTAACTTTCTGACACCGAACAAACTTCTTTCTGAACTGGCTTCTTTTTCTTTCTCTTTATAGCTTCTCTGTTTCTTTCTTAAATCCTCTCACTTTAATGCGTTTATTCTAAAACATGATCGGTCAAACTATTAGTGGTTATGATCTTGCGACGTCAGCCGATCAAAACCTTGTCGTTGTATTTTTAATAACAAAATGAAAAGTGTAAACAAATAAAACAAATGACACAAGTAACAAAGTTATGTGATCGAGTTTTTGTCAGTGTTACATACATAAATAGAACGCACAAAACGTATTAGTTGACTGTTTTGATTAGGCGCGTATTTTGGAAGGTAATAAAGTTTATACATTTTATTCTAAAACCTTTCTGTCTCATTACTAACGAATACTTATGTCTTTGTCTCGACGTTTGTATCATATTTTATATGTGTGCAACATTTATATATCGTTACTATAGTTGATTTTACAATATTATTTAAAGGTACAGGTATTTTGTGCGAAATCATCTAAATCTATCTCCCGACACTTTTTTCTATCCATTTGACACACTGCAAATTTCCCCTAATTACTTCCCTTCCTATCACGAGCCACGCTCAATGCTGGCAGATATTATCTTCCCAATCGTTAAAATTCTCCATAATATTAATGAATATTACTGCGTAAAAGTACTTCTTGACAACAACGCCCCCAAGACTTCCTTACTACTGATGGTATTAAGGTTAGCTTGTTAGAGAAAGCTTTTTAATACAGCAGTTTGTCTCTACTTTGTTTCTCAGTCAGGATTGGCGTTGGCTAATACGTTGAGTAGACTTAGCGCAGCGATTAGAATGTTGACAAAGTAATAAAGCGTCACTATTTTGTTATACAGTCAGAAGCAGCCGGGAAACTTTTTGAAATTGAGGAATGACTCTTGTATGCTTCTAAGTGTATAATAGATATTATAATAGTTAGTTGGCTATTCATGATGTCAATTATTTATTTCACGAAGACGAAAAAATACCTAAAGACGTCGATGTGAATAAATTAACAAACGTACAATAACGACTTTCGTTATCACATTATTATCCTTAAACCTATTCGCGGTCGAGAAGGTAGTGTCAACAGAGTCTGTTACGATGTTTGATTGCGGTATTTATTCCAGTCGAACGAGATTTCTTCCCGAGGAACAGGAATGACGATAACGGGTCTGTGTCCCAAAGACGATATACGTTAATAACAGAGAAGCGGATTTGTGTGCGTTATGTAGTCGTGTACCGCACGTTAGTGTGGAGGGCCGGAATGTTAGCTCTTTATATTGAACTTTCGTCGGTTATGTGGTCGATAAACCGCGCTTTATTGACTGTTCCATTTCGCCGAACATCTAAACCAACTACAACGTTCCATTTCGCCAAACGTAATCCACCGTCGCGACTACGACCTTCCACGGGCTGCTTGTAAGTATCTGTTCCACTAGCTAGCTGCCTTGTGAGAATCTGTTATACAGTCGTCCCTCATTTGTATCCCAGTTTTGATGCTGGACGGATTTCCCCTATTTTATTTCTGTATAAATTTCCCTCAGTTGTATCCCACTCAGATATATCCCTGCCCCAAATATTCCAATATCCCAACTGTAATATTATGATCACTCATTTATATCCCCACTTTACTATGGTTGTGTTACATAAAACAGCATGTCATTTCTATATATAGGCGATCTACTTCTGTGTCACTTAGATCTCTTAAATTTATTGGTTGGCATACAAGCTTGGACTGCACTTTATGTAGTATGTCCTTAAATGCTCATTTGTCACCAGAACTTTGTCGTTCATTTCTGCATTTGTAATTTAGGATCTGGTTGGGGCTGACTCGGCATAAATACCATTGTCTTTAAAAATCAGGTCATATAACATGCCATTTTCCAATCAGGTCATTATAACATGCCACTTTTTGTTGTAACAATATCGAAGATTTCAATATATAAGGGAAGTATTTCTGCTTAATATTTACGAAATTCAAAATCATTTACATCTTTACTAAAGAACTGTGTTTAATTGACCCATCACTGATAAATTCTCTTCAAATTAAAATTTTTGTTCCCTAAATATGGCCAAACCCGCAAATTCAAGTGACGTAGAAAGACAAAAAAAATTATATCGCTTGAGGACAAAATCGACATCATTAAAAGGAAAGAAGATAATACCAAGCTGAGCGATAAAATGTTAAAAAATTTTAGAACAAAGAGAATTACAATTGAAGAAGACCTTAGATACGTTCGTGATATAATTCGACGTTTGGTAGAAAGTCTAAACGCCAAGACCTTGTTAACAGAATATATTACCCAATAAAATTGCTTGTGTTACCCAATTAATAAATATATCCCGAGGTGGGGATATAAACGAGGGACGACTGTATATGTCTGAGTAGACGTGTTAGATGTATGTTGATATGATTATTGCCGTTTTCAAAATGCTGCCCACTTGTCCACAGGACAGAAAAAAAATCGACTTTCGCGGATTATAAGAAATTCTATAGGTATAGTGAATACAAGTCTCACTTTCCGCAACTGCCTAACCTTCTTGCAGCTTGTAGAGACCAGTGTGTCAACTTACAACTCCCTTTGTAAAAGTGGAACCCGAGATTACAAGGCGATTACGAACTGATTACAGGGCGATTACAGACCAATCCAATTTTATCGTTGGCTAGATAGCTATATGACAAAAAAGGTAGTTAATTATATTTGGTAGCACAAATCATATTCACTAATAAGACAAAATTTATTCCGTGAAATATTAAATCAAATCTTGCCTCAAATACATTGCATAAAGCATAAATTTAATTTTTGGAGATACTACACGTCCAATTGTCCTTCACTCAAGTCTTATTATATGCATATATTTATGAACAAATCATATTTAAACTCAGTTGTAAGGCAGGGGTTTGTTTCATGTATGCTAAAACCTTACAACACTTCTACTCACATACTTCATTGTCATCCATCACATCAAAAACATCTCTCATTGATGCAATGTCATCTTCTGGTAGAAAGTCTATGGGGTCATTTTTAGGCCTGTTTAAAATATGCTTTATTCCCTGTATTTCAGAACTATTTGGCTTTGCATCACTACCTCCTATATACTATAGGTTGCATCGCTTTGTGAATGGAAAGTTGGGCTGAGATGCAGCAGCAACAGCAGTAGTCATGCCAAGTTCCACTACCATTGTCTCAAGTAGAGTCTTTGCTTCTGAAAGAGAGAATGTACAGTCTGTGATCATGCCTTTTTCCAACCAGAAAAATTGCCAATGTTCTGTGTCGTGCCGACTACTGCGGGAGAGCAGAAAGTAATCGACACTTGGGATTTAACTAGTCTCGACGGAGCGTGGCT